CATTTCCATGGCAACAGCCAAAAAACTGATTTTTCAAATACCTTTGCGCCAAATGTATCTCACCCTACAATTCTAAGATTAAAAAGCACGGACATAGCTCATTCTACTAAGCTTGAGTGTGGGCACACATTTACTGTTTTTTTATGTATATTTTCATTACCGAGAAAATTGTCCTCTGTGATGTTTTGGCCTGGCTGATTTTGTCGTACCGCCACTAATCGGAAAACAAATTCTGGCCCACTACTGCCATTGCAACAGCAAAAAACTGATTTTTGAATACTTTCGCCCCAAATTTATTACCTTCTACCAGTTTTGTAATAGTAGTGTTCAAATGATCATGCTTTTTCTTTTGGCTATGTTGCGCACTGGTAAGAGATCACCTGCGCCGGCATTGTTACACTGTATCAACGTAATCCCAACGCAACTTGAAATTTGAATGAACTGTAAATACTGCCTTCATTATAGAAAATACTATCGCAAAGCGGTTGGAAATATTAAATGTAACAGCAGAATAATAGTAAGTCCTAGTAATAAACTAAGTTTAGTTATAAACCGACGTTAGCTTCACATGCATGTTCTACCATGGAAACCACCAAAAACATGTTGCTTGTTTTTTGAGCAGAGCGGATCGCCAACCAGCCTACCAGCTTGTAATGCTTAGTAGGAACACGTCGATTTTCCAACAAAATTGTCTTTTAAAATATTAGAAGAGACATATTTGTTTATGGTCAGCTACAATTTATTCTTATAAAACGTAATTTATAACACAAATTTCGAGATTCAACTCTTTATTTTAATGTAGTATGTATTGTGCATATACAATGTACACTGGGCCCTTTTCAAATGATGCATTAAGCACACAACACATCAACAATTCTACTCAACAACGGCTGGGTTTTGTGATATGAGATTTGGGTAATGTGTTTAATTGTTAACAAATTTTTCAATAACACAAAATTCAAATTAAAAATATTTTGTTAACATTTCAGAAACAAAACGCCGATAGCAGTCAAAACAAGAGAACATGATTTTACAGGGCAGACCGTGCTAACAAAATTCCAAGCCCCAGAATGTAGTGCAACTGAGCACTTCTGATCCGGTTAAAAAAAACGAGATGACGGATAAACCACATCACGAATATTTTCTATTTCGTAAATTCTGGTGGTACGTAATTAATATTTTAATAAAATGTGCATATTTTTTGTGATCATTTCTGTTCCTTCATTGTAAAAATCAATGACGACGCAACTAATTTCGTAATTTGATTTTCCCTCAAAGACGTAATATCCCCCTCAATCTGTCAAATTCTGATGAATCCAAATTTTCATTTGCACTCTTTTCCTAGGGGGTGTTCTGGTAAGCACGAATTGAATCGCGAAGTTCTGAATAGAGGCTGGGCGCTAATGCTGTCGATTACGGTATTTAGTGAATAGTGCGGGTATGTGCTCTCAAACAAGCCATTTTTAGCTATTTATGGATAACCGAGGGGTAGTAAGTGGATTTATATTGTCACGCAATTTAATCCCACCACAGCACATTATTTCACTGCGAATACGGTATGTATCGATTTTCTCGTTTAATTTTTGCATGCCAAATTTTCTTTTCATTCTTGAATTTTCTCTAAAGTTGTCACTTGGCCGTGTGTTATTGAATGAATGTCTCACTCACAAGTCGCACTCTAATTCACTTCCCCACACACACACTAACATAAAGACTCAAATTGTGTCTGTGGAAGTCAAACATGGTTAAATAATTTTCTACATTTGTCTAATATGAAATATTTTTGACTTCCGTGTGTAAAGCACACAATGGAAATCTTTGCAGTTATTCTATTAAAGTAGGTTTATAAATGCTAATCTTTTGTGGGAAATGGATAAAAAAGAAAAAATACATTATGGGCTGTACATTATTTGATGAGTTATTTTTTTGTATTATTCACTATCCATGGGTTGGAATAACTTCCACTGTGCAGTGTATGGATGGAAAGTTGTTCAAATATTCCGCTAGTTTGGCTTTTGAATAACTTCCGACTTGAAGTCAAAGACGAACTCCGAAAATAAATCTAATTCTACCGAGACACATTTCAAGAAAAAAAATCTATTCATGATATGAAACAAAACAAAAGTAGTTACTGGCGGTGCTTAGACAATGTAGTCTGGCATATTGACTAGCATTTCTCTGAAAGTTGTCTTTATAAATTTGCATAAAACGGGGAATTGTGATGTTCGAAACAAAATATAAATTCACCTGAAAGGTGAAAAGTAAAAAAAAAACAATACAAAGCCCTATTTAAGTTACATTCATTTATATGTAATTCACGGTAATGCCGGGTTGACTGACAAATCTAGAATACAGTCATTTCTTGTGGTACTTGAATTAATAAGTATTGACAAAACTGAAACAATTTTATTTTTGTTGATATCCCAACTTGCATGTGGGCCTGTAATTGAAACTGATCTAGAAAAACACATTTAGCTACTTCAGAGTACTTTAGGTTAATAACAACAGAGTTACCTCTGTGTCTCTAAGAGTGATACCAATAAATATTAACTTACATTGAGTGGAGGAATTATGAAAACAAAACAAAAATCGTTCGAATTCGTCATAACTGTTTGTATTCAGTTTTTAGGGGAAGAATAATGGTCACTGTTAATTATTTCGTTGTACCAATTTGAGGTCAGCTCAATGTTTTTGTTTATCGCAATTTGTACACTTTTTTCGGAATTGTGAATTTATACCTCAAATACGGACATTGAAATGCGAATGACACAATAGTTTGATTTAATAAGAAATATAATATAGTTGCAATATTTTACCAAATATGCATTTTGGTATATAATAGGTTTATTTGAATTTGAATATATGTGATTTACTAGAGAGATTGATTCACCCCAATGTCATTTTTTGTAAATATAATATATAATATGACATTAGCAACATTCGACATTAAAATACTTTCATGAGATTGTTTCATTGTTTATACCCGTCATGACATGAAAGTATGGTCTTCAATATTTAGAATGCTTGTCCATGATTAAAGACCGGTCATCTTGAGTTGCGATAACATTGTACCTGTACAAAACACATTTATGACATGTACTTCATCTGCAAATTGACAAATTTATTTTAGAATCTGACTGACTAATTATGACCAACGTGGCAACTGATTATACGTGGACAGCGGCTTTCACAGCTGTGTTCGTGATGGTATTTGGTGTTTACTGGTTTTCGAGGTCTAAGAAGCAATACAATTTGCCACCGGGACCAAAAGGATGGCCATTTGTAGGGATGCTATACAAATTGGGTGATACACCACATATACAGTTCATGGAAATGGCGAAGAAGTTTGGAAATGTATTTTCAATGAAAGTTGGTACCCAACGCGTAATAGTGTTGAATGGCTATAAAGCTGTGACTGAAGCATTGGTGGATAACAACTCCATATTTTCTGAAAGACCAGATGCATGGACCCTCAAAAGAGTGAAAGATGGGGATGGTAAGACACATATAGTGCATTTATTTTGTATTACTTCATCACATTTTAATTGTTATTATATTAATAATATTTAGGAATATTGGTGATTTAACTTGAACCTGTGAATGAAAGAAAGCAGAGGGATCATTCTACATTGTTCAAGAAATATTGAATATTTTTTATACTGAACTAGCTTGAAAGTTGCCTGAATGGTTTATGCTCCGTGCATATAGATTATATTTCACCAACACTTTATACTTTCTTTGACATCTTCTTGTTGGATACAGAATGCATGCTGGTGTATATCATATGCATCTTGAATCAATGTCAGTAGTGTCACTGAGTAGTGGCCATTGGCAGGTTATTATAGGGTAATTACAGGATCACTGGTGTTAAGAGAAATGAGGAAGGTTTCCTTCTTTATTGCCTGATATACAGGAAGGTTGGGTTGTTTCATGACAACCCCGAATGGGGTGTTTTCCAAGAAAACACCAATTCTGTGTTTGCAATTTTTTTAGCTGCATAAGGGAAATTTGTCACCCTTATTTCTTTTTCGCTTGTTTCATCTGTTCTTGCTTGGCTATGCTTGCTGCAACTGCTTTCGTAGTACATCGGTATAGTATTCTACTTGTTGATACGAGTCTCAGGAGGTGTCAAAGATAAGATCAACTGGGAGGCGTGGATTGTGGCCAAACATCGGAAAGAATTATAAAAATATTCTGTAGATTCCTTTTCCCGTGCAAATTACGTACATAAGTAAATGTCTTCAAGTTCTTCACCAATTCATGTTCAATATATCCAATTTATCGATGTGTGTGCCAAATACACTTTTGTAGTTTCAACTTTAGCCCATGCTGACAGAGTCTGTCAAACATTATCTGCAGTCTGGCGAGAAGCTCCTCAAATGTGCTGCAAAATATATTATATTATTGGAGTAAATATTTTACATATATGACTAGAGTTAGAAATTTCACTTTTCCACAAACACAACAACCACCAGTCTGCTGATTTGCCATGAAAACTCACATCCAGATAGATGTACTTGATTTGTGAAGATGTACTTGTTTCATTTCGAGCATTTATTGGTGTTTATATTATATTATATTATTATTATTATTCCGCTGTTTTTTGTAAGCACTCTAATTTGACAACTTTTGCATGTATTGCGATGTTTATCCTAAAATCAGTCACATGACAAGGCCGCCATGTTGGATCAAAGGGGGAAATTTTCAACGCTTAATTGCACACCTTTCTGAGGGTCTGAGCACTGGAACAAGGGCTACAGATTTCATCAAAAACAAATTAGCGGTCATGTGACTTTTTGTTGTTGTTTTATTGAATATTTCTAGATTAGTTTTCTATTTTGTAATATAACTAATATCTCAAGCACTGTTTCAGATAGGGACATGCAACCAGTGTTATAGTAACAGAAAAGCTCGAGTGATACATTTATGGAATATCAGATGACCATATATGGTCATGTCACTTCATTAATATGCATAACTGTAATATCTCATGCAATGCTGCAGATAAGGACATGCAAACAGTGCTATCAGCAAATGTGCCAAGTGTCATTGGTCATGATTGTTAGAAACTCGGTCATTGCTGCTATATTTTGTATTTGTATATATACGTTTTTTGGTTTAACAATTTTAGAACAAAACCTTCTTTTGAGTCACAAAGTTTTGCGAGTTAACCTAGTCGACAATGACGATATTTACATTGTCCTTTATTGCGACTGAATATTAATAAAGGTTTGGGGCAACTGGCCGTTAAACAGTGAATAAAACAAACTGGCATCAATCACGATTTAACATTACACTCAAATCCATTATAATAGTTCCATTTCCCATTAATCAGACCCATCAATAATTTGTATTTGTTCTAATTTTTCTAATAATTATAAACTTATTATAATACATTACCTTACAATAATTTTGCATTTCACATACGTTTTACCGATATATTTAGTACATTCCTCACATTAAAACATAACTACATAAAGTATTATATAATCCTACATTGCTACACTTAACGCAGCAGCTAGGCTGTGACGTCATTTCCTGTTCATAGTAAATATCTGGTCAAAATTATTGAAATGTACATTTATCATCATTCAATAAAATATTTGGCAGCACAAAATTCATGGGTGAAGTAGTGCACTTGACAAAACGTACAGGTGCACGTATTTATAATCATATTAAGGCGGGGATATTTTCGTATTATCTCATTCCAATGATATGCAAAGTTATACATCGCTGATTAGCAATCATTTATTGCCGCATTATTTTCAGGAATAGTAAGTCGAAACGCTGATCATGTGTGGAAGGAACGTCGTACTTTTATGGGTACGCAATTACGTGACTTTACCAAGAGATCTTTAGAGGCAACGATTCATGAAGAAGCTGAGATGTTGTGTGAGGCACTTGGAGCCACCAATTGCAAGCCTGTTGACTGTAGCCATCTTCTGCGGTACGCCATCATAAATGTTATAGGCATTTTTATATTTGGGGAAAGGTGGGAGTATAGTGACACAGCTTTTAAGAAAATATTAGAAGAGAACGATGTGTTTGTCTCTTATCTGAAATATAATATAGCAGCTAACTTTATACCCTTCCTCTGGCACATTCCTTATGGCATACCGAAATTTATGAAGTCTGATTACT